TTTTTTTCAAATCATTCTGGAGGAGTTTGCAATATACCCTTTTGTCCTTTTCTAATGCCCTGTTCACACGGAGAGTTTAATTCGCAGTAAATTAATGCGAAGTAAAATGATACGAATCAAACTAATGCGAATTATATTGCGTTCACACGACAGCTAATGCGAAGTAAACTAATGCGAATTAAAATTTTATTTCTACAACAAGGCTATTCAGTAAGGTTATTATGACGTCATTTACAAATCACGTCATTTTGTGCAGAGCAGATCTACATTTGACATAATTTCATAGTGTCTGTACACATTTTAGTGATTAACATAATTTTCCTTTGTTTTCCACTCAAAAATAGCACAAGTACCTATATTTGACCATCGACATGTGGCCTGTGACTTAATTCTGCCCTTACGCATGCGTCAAAATTTAATTCGAATTAGCTTCGCTTAGCGTTCACACGGAGCTAATGCGAAGTAATTTAATGCGCAGTAAACTAATTTGAATTAAACTAATTCGCATTAAATTTTCCGTGTGAACGCGGATCAAATTTAATTCGCAGTAACTTACGTTTAATTCGAATTAAACTCTCCGTGTGAACAGGGCATTAGTCGGTACAGATTTTTTTGTAATCAACATCCAGTTAAAATGTTTAGTATAGTCAAACACATATAAGATCATTAAATGCTAAATCAGTTAAGTTTGATGCATATGCATGGTAACCTTATTTCTTTCATCCTGCATTAGGAAAAGTTTTTACTTTCATAAACGATTATTACTTAACGCGTTTCAAAATACCTTCCTTTGCTCTAAAAATACCGATTTTTTCTAAAATCTATTATAAGTCGGACATAGAGTTTTTGGACAAGAAATAATTCTCTAAAATATCCGACTTATATATGCCCGATTATACACAGTATAACATGGTGAATATGAATTGAATGAAAGATGGGAATATGTAAGCATAAAAAAAACTTCCAACGACGATATACGACGAAAGTTTAGGTATACCTTTTATCGCATATTCCAAAGGGAAAAAAGGCTCGTTTCGGTACATACCGTCTCCGGTGTTAACATTCACCAATGGCCGACATAAACAGGACGAAAATGTTCCATTACATCTTTCTTTCTCTCTCTCTCTCTCTAAGTAAAATATATTCTTTAAAAAAATATTTTTATCTCAAATATTATGTACAAATAATGTATCTGTCTTATCTAACGGAATACTGGATGCTGAATATACTGCCTGTAGTCATATACCTGTAGAATGCCCAAAAATCGAAAATAAAATTTAGAAATTAAGAATACATGTGCATGCATTGATAAGCCAAACTATAGCTTAATATTTTGCTTCTGGGAAAATAAATTAAATTTAGAAGAAGGTAGTCCTTACGAAAAAAGACAAAAATGATTACGTCATAGAACGTCACGAGGAAAATATTAGACTTACAATTATGTGCTGCACTGGGGGAAAAACCTAAAATGAGTTCTAAAAATGCTGAAAATAGCTAGAAACATGTCACATACATGTATAAACCGTGCGTTCGCGTGTAACTGACAGAGGCGGTTTGTAAGAGAAAGTATCTGATGATGAAAGATATGTAAGGAAACCGTTTTTCAATAGAATTCTTATCAAATCATTGATAAAGTGTTTAACAAGTTATGGAAAACGAATGTCGCTACGCCGTTGCTGATCTTGTGAAAACAGTTACTTGGTAAAAAAAATAAATCTTTGACAAATAAGATTATCCTACTCTAAAAGTTGTTAGCAAACTAAATGTCGAGCGTTTTAGATTGTTTACGTGTAGGCATGGCGCTTGACTGTTTGGAATGACATATTTTTTTTTAATGAACTGCACACGCTAACTCTGAATTTCCGCCTACATTTTTAAAACCATTTAATTCAATACTAATGAGAATTTGGCCATTTAAATTTCTGAATGCAAAGAAAAATTCAATGATGATTGATTAATAATTTTAATACCAGTGTAAAAACGTGAATTGATAGCATGAAATATTTATAGTTCCTGTATCACATATTGTAGGCATAGAAATTAAAGCAAAATAGTTCTACATTTAGTCTATTGATAATTAATTAAATGTAAATTTTCAAGATGGTAAAAATTTAAAAAAGTAAAGCAAAAAAAGTTATCCTGGGAAAAGTATCATTTTATGTTCATCGTGGTAATGTAATTTCAAGTAAAACTTTACCATTTACACATGTAGGAGGTAGGTTAAGATTTTTTCGACATGAAACATTTTCCAATTCGAATCAGCATTGAAACAACGTGCCTGAACGTTACGTGTGGATAAACTGAGAGTATAAACAGGTTAAAACAAGTCAAAAAAAAAAAAAAAAAAAAAAAAAAAAAAAAAAAAAAAAACTCAAACAAGGAGGGAGAGGGGAACACCCGGCATGCCGGTGCTGGATCCGCCTTTGAATACATGTACGTACTAGATTGTTGTCCAGAAGTCATTATTTCAATAACCAGTAAGCGTGGTGAGAACGACATTTTCTACAAAATCCACATTTCTCAATAAACCCGCGATGCTTATACATCGTAAATGCATTTATCAAATAATTTTCTATATTCTATGACACCCTGTTTATATTTTATTTTAATTTGTCCATCCAGTTGAAACAATTAACAAGAATAAAATCATCTATATTTTCTACGATCACTGCATTACATGTATGAGCCCCGTTCGAGAATATTTCACTTATGCACAGATATCAGTGGATATATACTTATCACTTCTTAGCAAAGATTAATATATGTTTTAGTAAACAAGTCGGAATTTAAATTTTTCATGAGCACGCAAACAGGCAATACTTTTTCGGATATTAATACAGAAGGATGAAAAGCAAACGATGTGATTCTTGACAATCAAAGGGAAACACTTTTTTATCCTCTACCATTCGTCACTGCTATATTATGTTTCTATATACAATTCATATAGGTCTGTCGATCTACAGTAATATTAAGAATATAAATTTAGAGGACAATTGGACACGCCCCCCCCCCTCCGATATCATCGCTCAAGTAGTAATTTATACCCCCACCCCACCCCACCCCAGTTTATTGTTTTCTTTTCACGTTATGTAAATATTACATCCAACCTTTATTTGATCGCTCTTTAAGTACATAAAATGCTATATATTACCTCTTTTTTACCATCTCGAGAAATCATGTGACCAAAATTACATTTATGTGATGTATATGGCTATTCGGGTATTTTTTTTATGAACTCTTCAAATAAGCTTACTGAAGTCATTGATAAAAAATTTATGACAATAATTGTTAAATCTGTTGTGATATTTTGCCACTTTAATGGTCTTCTATCTTGGAAACTTAGCCTCTAATTTTCACTTTAATAGTTCAAAAAAAAAAAAAAAAAAAAAAAAAAAAAAAAAAAATCATGTCCATGTACATGTATATAGTTTCATTTTCCCAACAGGTCAAATAGATCGGCGAAACCATTGTGACGTCAATTTTCAAAAATGACGTATAATTGTTTTATAATGTTCAGCTTGACATGAATATGGACACAGGCAATGGATAATAAATAAACTAGATGTAAAATAACATTTATATACAACAAGTGTAAATACTGCACTTTTTCTGATCTGCTACTTTTTTCAGTCACCTAACGTCCAGATATAGTCTAACTCGGACCACTGTCACTTAGTTAGGGAGCGCGGAAGTAAGATGCTATATATATACTAATATAGGCCCAACGTATCTGAATAGTCACGTTTCGAGTTCATCCGGAACGTCCGTTTTTATTTACGTTTAGTTATGCCGATCACGTGATTTACAGAAAATGTTCAGCAAGGGTACTTCCGGTTGTGATTGTTTGCGATAGTTACCCGATGTCGTCTGACACAAAATCCTATTTTTGCGTTGCGGAGGGATGCAATTCTGATGAAAGAAAAAGGGGAAGATATGGTTACATGAAAGATGTAAGATTTTATCCCTTTCCAACCCAGAAAAAAGCGCATGCACAAAGAAAACGCTGGCTGGACCTCTTGAGAAGAGAAAATTACGAGCCAAAGAGAAATCACAGAGTATGCTCTCTTCATTTTAAGGAAGGCAGACCAACAGAAAATCATCCATACCCAGAGCTCTTTGCATAAAATAATTTTAAGGAAAGTCTGAAGGTTTGTTATGGTTTTGATTATTAAACATTCCAAAGTTAGTATCAGGTATCATGATTGTACGTATCGAATGACTTGTGCCTGTCTGCCTGGCATAGTTGTGCACACTATTTCCCTTTGATGTAATTTAAAATCAAGATTATAGCTCTACAAACCTGCATCAAAATAACTAGAAAATGATAATGTGCTATGATATATTGTAGGATTAAACACAAAATTAAGAACTGTTTGAGCTTTTAACATTTTAAATAGGTATGGAGTATTACAATTTAGAGAGACACATACTATAGTCTTGAGTGCGTATAATTTGTTATCTTTAGATTCGTTCAACAACTTCAATATCCAAGAGGAAAAAGTGTATTGTACAAGACACTCAATCTGAAATCTCAATTCCTCCCCCAGTGGATTCCCTGGCTGCCAGTGAAAGAGTACTTGTATGTAAGATTATTTGCTGATATAAAATTCAGTAACAAAACTTGTGCACAAGTATTTATCATTGCAGATCAATAAAAATATTTGATAATTTAATTGTATTTTTGAAAACTGAATTTTGATTTTTTTTTTTAAATTAAGGATTATTATTTTTCAGCATTCACAGATTAATAATGACAATTCCATTTTTGTTTGGCCAATAACTCAAGAAAAAGAAGTGAGTGATCATGAGCGTCCAACAGCTGGATCTTTTCCTGACACAGGTGAAAATATTTGATTTTTAAAAGAATTATTAACATTTTAATGGCTATCTATCAAATGTCATATTTTAAAATTCTGGCAACTTAAAGAGAGGTAAGCTTACTGCACAAAAATTTACATTTAAAATATACTGTAGGCACTCATGTAGACATGGACCACTGCTACATCAGTGGTAGTTTTTGCAGTAATGACATGTCAACCAGAGATATAGGAATCCAAACCTCACTCACTACTGCAGATATCAAGGTTCTCGAGGAGAAGTCAACCAAACTGGAGGATCCTGAGAAACTCATGAGAGAGCTTTTTATAAACAAAGTTGTGAAGGATGACAAAAATGTAAAGATGTATACTGGACTACCATCAAAGAAAATCCTAAATGGTGTATATGGTATGAACCGGTGCACACTAAATTCAGTGATATTATAAATGTTAATACATGGTCTTTTACTACACTAAAAAGGTTGATCAAAGCTTTTTTAATATTACAAAATTTTATCAATACTGTGGTTTCTTATCTTCTATAATTAAATAACATTTTCTAATAAATAACTTTCCCCTTTATTTATTAAGATATTTTGGAAAAGGCTTCACCAACTTTGAAGTATTGGTCAGGACAAGGGAGTACTACAAAGAAACTTTATCAGAAAGACAGTCTAAATGCAAAGTCGGGCCCAAAGAGGAAGCTCAGCAGGTTTCAGGAGTTTGTTTTAACTCTGGTCAGATTGCGACTAGCTTTGACTACATTTGTCATGGCAGATTTATTCGGCGTATCCACCTCAAGAGTTTCTCAAGTCTTCACTACCTGGATCAATTTCATGTGTACAATCTTCAAACCTTTATTAAAATGGCCCTCAGGAAATGTAATTAAAAAATTCATGCCTTCATCTTTCAGAGCTAAATTTCCAAATGTAAATTGTATTATTGACTGCACTGAATTTTTCATCAAAAAACCAAGAAATCCAACTGCTCAGTCTCAGACATTTAGCTCCTATAAACAACATAATACTTATAAAGCACTGGTAGGTGTGTCACCTTCTGGTGCATTTACATTTGTATCAAATTTGTGGGGTGGCAATGTTTCCGATAGGCATATCACTAAGGAAAGTGGTTTCCTGGACAACATACAAGCTGGAGATGAAATAATGGCAGACAGGGGATTTTTGATCAGGGATCTTTTGCTTCAACGCAGAGCTAGACTTATTAATACCCCCATTCACAAAGAAGTGTTCCTGGGGTAAAGGTAAGTATTTGTCTGCCTCCGAAATACTTAAAACAAGAAACATTGCAAAATTCCGCATCCATGTAGAGAGGGCTATAGGAAGGTTAAAAACATTTCATATGATGTCCAACACCATGCCAACAAATTTAAAACCACTTGCTGATCAAATGCTTGTCATATGTGCATTTCTTTGTAATCTTCAAAAACCTTTGGTCAAAAAGTAAGGAATCGATGTTCCATATTGGAATGTATACTTATAACTGACATCTGTGTTTAGAAATATTTTTTTTATTGTGTTCACTTCTGATATAAAATACGTGTATAAGAACTTCAATGTAACAAGTAGCATATATTTCTTGAATGATAATCAAATAAAAAGTAAGAAAATTGTTCATAATGTCTCATTTTTACAAGAGTTGAAAATGTATGTTTGAGACTTTAAATACATAATATTTCTGCTGACATAACTATTTTTACAATTGTCTTAGTGCTCTAAAAAGGTACTTCTAAAAAAAAATCTGAGATTTTTCAATAATTCTCTTAAATATGTGTTCATCGAAATATATACGATCAACAATAAAGCCCTTTTTTGTGTAAAATACAAAATCACACCATTGTTTTTGGCACACACCTAGTTGGCCCTTAATTTGTACATACCATGGAGAATCAAATTTCAGTCTTATATTTTCATTTTCGTCTAAGACAACATGATAATGGTCATCAATACAAGCATCTTTGGGCATTTTAATTTGATACAAGAAGGAACATTTTATCTCAAGTAATCCTTCACCACAACAATTGCACTTAATTACACCATCTGGAGAAGCCCCTAAAAATGGATAATCTGAGTCTACATATAAACCACATAACTTAATCTCTGCATGTTTGTGCTGTTTTTTATACTGCTCAAAATAAAGCTGCCTAGCGACTGGTTCATGTAGCTTACCAAATGCCAGAGAAGGTACAGATACTTTTGAAGTTTTCCCAATAATCATTTTTGAAATATAATTCTCTTCATTTTCTGTAAATCTAAAATGCAAAACTGATGAAAAATGTGAGGCAGTAATTCTACCAATTCTGTGTTCAAGCCATTCATGATTTTCATTATGCCCTTTAGTTTGATCTTCAATTTCAGTAATTATTTTCTTATCAAAAATATTCTTCAATTTTTCGGTAACTGAAAAAAATGTCATAAGGAGGTTGCATATTCTTGCAGACATCTGACATTGATGGAAGTACAACATTATTATCATCGTCATCATCACTTTCGAAAGACTTGTCATAAAGTGTCTGTAAAAGAAGAGCCCCTGTACCTCTACATAAGTCATAGAAGTCCTTCTCGTGGTTGGCCAGGGGACCTTGACTGGGAATTGCCGGGTCATACGAGTAAACAGTAGCAGATGTTGGTTGGGGATGTGTCTGGTCCACTCTCATGTCTATGTCGGTGATCTTCTGGGGGTTAGATTTTTTTCTAGGTTTATCCCAGATACACTGTGTATCAGTGCCTACCTCTGTTCCTCGGTCTCTGTGTCTCTCACAAAAACTTGTTAGTGAAAATGGAAAAGCAACACAATGTCTGCAAGTTCCATTATCCCTGAAAAAATTATATAAGAATTAAGATTTTATGAACCTGAATTTCAATAATTAGACTGTGACTTCACATTATTAAATATGCTGTATCAGTTTTAAGAGATTATGCTTTCATGGAAACAGAGAACAACATGTATTTAACATGAGGTTACCTAAAAACTGGAATGTACTTACGCCACACAAGTGCATCCACCAGACAAAATTTCTCCTGTTGTCTTGTTTGCCAAGATCCATACATCATAAGGCAGGGCTGTCTGTCTTGTCTCAGGCATGCAAGTTGCCCTCAAGTAAAGGTATTCTTGGTGGACATGATAGGCAACCTTGACATCGTCAATATGGCAAGCCATGTGTAACCGATACCCATTATCTTGCTTATAAAGGCTTAGTCGTTCATGACTCCACCCACACCACCTCATTAAGTATACCAAAACATCACACGATTCAAAGTCTGGTATACTGGCCAAATCCTTACTCCTGCAAAAGTAGTTAGTTAATATATAGACAATATCTAAACTTCCAACTTCTTAATTGTTAAATTGCTATAAAAATGTTCTTAATAGGCCTCTATCATGTAGGCTCATTTCACTTTGTGAAAACTGAGGTGGGTTTAGGTGTGTGTTACCCCAATTGTTTGGTTTGATGTATCAATACTGAAAAGCTTAGTCAATAGATATAATTTTACATAAAGTGTGAAAAATTAAAGTCTTACCAATCGGTCACAGCATTTACAGGGTCTAAAATAATTTTCTTGTCTCCAACTGTCACTGTCCTGCGCCTTGCATCAAACACGGAGTACTCTTCTTCCTCATTTGTAGATGTCAAAACCTATGTCATCATTATACAGAAAGGTGAATGATAATATGTTTAACCAGGTTATGCTAAACCACAAAAAACATCCATGAATAAAATAAATTTGAATAAAACATATCTTTTAATTTATAAATTGTAAGGTAGATACTTTCATTTTTGTCGTTCTCGGTTCCGACTAAGAAATGTATTAATCAGCTGATCAGTTAATGCTTCAGTGAACGAACGATTACCTCAAGACGAAGTTCCTCAGCAAGCTCACATAAACGCACAAGATCTATTTTCCTGTCTATGCTGCAGCTAATACCTCTATCTTGCAGATATTTCCTAAGATCTGGCACTTGAAAGCCGTAAAAATTGATTCCTTCTGCCATAGCTATAAGACGCTATGAAACCGGAAGTTTCCTTGCTGAACATTTTTGACATGGCGTGACTAAAAGAGAAATAAAAACGTTGCTCCGGATGAACTCGAAACACGGCTATTCGAACAACGTCTAAGGAATTAATACTGACCAGATCTTTATAACATTGATATGATGATTTCATCCTTTACATTAAAGGATTTTTAGTGATACGTTGGCGAGGTATGTTCTCAATATTATTTAGATCTAGCAAAACACCGTCGAATGCATGTGTATTTCATGCTGTAAAATAAACACATTTTTAAAAAAGTAAACATGGTCCGCACAATATCACCATCGTAATTTTTTGCATATAAATTGCTTTCAAACCGATGTTTCATTTGTGAAAATTTCAAAGTGCTGATATAATGCGGACCTATCGAAAAATGCTTTCAAGTCCTTGATTTTTAATGATTTTTTTCCGGAAATACGCATTCCGAGCATGATTTGACCACGAATAGACAGTATACAGGGGACACATTCTCAAAGTTTTGGTGTATTTTTTAACAAGCTTATATCCAACCTTTAATTTCAACGTAAAGTTTTAATTCAGCATAAACTTTAATTTTTAGAAATTCTGAGGGCCAAATAATATATCAAGTGAACCTTGTCCTTTGCGCATCAACAAAATAATTATTTTTTTTTATATATATACGATAATGTTCTCATCTTATTTTTTATGTTAACCCGTACGAAAATCTGAACCGTTTTCCGCCTGGAATCCGGTTAATTAAGGCGTATTACGGTTTAAAGATAGCCGTAGTTAGGTGGACCAAAGGCGGACATGGAAAACGGTTAGTATGTTAGATGGAATCCGTCTTACTCGTAGCCGGAATTCGCCTTACATTTAAGCCGTATTTTTCGGAATCACATGTTAGACGGATTCCGTCTAATTATTAGCCAGAACTCGCTTAACGTTTTAGCCGTATTTTTCAGATGCATGTCTGAGACGGATTCCATGTAACTAGTAGCCGGAATTCTTTTAAAATTTTGGCAGTATTTTTCCGACATATAATTTTCATCTAAATCTGATTACAAAATTAAATAGTGTAATTAATTTCTTTAACTCACTTAATAAAATGGTAAGTTTTTTTCTAGGCATCAGAAAAGTTCGACTCCATTTCTAAAAAGATCGGATAATTTACCTCTAAGGATTATGAGAAATGACTAAATTATGACAATCTTCTCGATTTCCTGTGGTATTGCAATTATTTTGGTAACAATTATAGTTCCTTTATTAGAATTATTTAAACGCAAAACATGGTTTAATAATAATTCTTGAATTTCTAACTGCAGTTATATGGTTAATGATTTTGTCTATTTATAAAAATAAGATAAGTTTTTCCTTACCATTGCAAGACAATATATAAGTACATAAAATTCAGGTCTCGTAGTCTGATTACGAGGCCTGAATTTGATAATGGTACGCAATTACATGCAAATTCATGTGCATTTACCTTTTAACAATAATTTTATTAAAACACATTACAGCTGTTATTATCTAACATTTTAATCAAATAACACAATACAAGCGGAGAATAAGCACATTACCCAGGAAAGAGAGTTTAATCACATTCTAATCTGTTCGGGAACCTGCACACATATCCTTTCCTGGCACCTTCATATGTTACAAACATGCAGTTTGACACAACACTATGCAATCTGATGACTTCAAGACAATCATTCAACGATGTGGACAAAATATTGGCTTTTTCATCAAACCTTTGACATTCTAATGCTTGGACAAAAGCCAGTGTTTCTTTTTCGTAAAAGATAAAGAACTGGACTTGCCCAAAACGCTTGTTTATTCCAGATTTGTACTCAATTGTTGAATTGTCTCTTTTCGTCATCCTGGAATAATTTTGTCCATAGATAATGAACGATTGATATTCGATCCTGTTAAAACTTTTAAATTTATTTTGGATAGAAGCGCATCCAATAAACTTTTCAAGAGCATTTTGTTCTTTAATAGAAAGGGTCTTCTCTTTCACGGCCCCAAGAACATAAATTCCCTCCTCAATAATGCAATTTCTTTTAAGAAGCGTGGCAGATTCGATCGCATTGTAAATTTTTTCGCACTCAGAGTCCTTCGAAATACAATTTTCTTTCAGCTCCGGTAATTTTTGGATAAAGGAGACGCCCGTCAGAATTTGGTTGTCGATGTTTTGAGTTCCTCGAATCATTTTCAATAGAACCCCATTTTTGTCCTCAAAGGAAAAACAACTGTGCGTGTAAAGTGGACCCAGTGCCCTGACACTATCGGGTAGATGAAGAAGCTGGTGTACATTGAGGCGCATAAAACGAACGTCATAGAGATCAGAAAAAGTTTCACAAAATTTGTTTAGCATGACCTCGGCACGGTTTACATCATCATCTGTTGAACCACATTTTAATAAAATATGCATGGAATTAACCAGCAGTAAGTAATGTGAGAATCTATCCCTAT